TTTTTGGATGGATGAAAAACGGACAAACGGTCCTCACGTGTGACGGGGGCCTCATTCAGTTGTCACATACTTGCATCTGGAGGAAAAGAAATGTCATCTCTAAACACGGAAAGGTTTCTTCACAGTAAGAGCTGTGAGAATGTGGAATAGACTCCCTCCAGAGTTGGTTGTGGCCGGCTCAGTGGATTGCTGTAGGAAAGTCCTGGATTCTTTCTTGGATACACAGAATATAACTGGATATAGATAAAATGGTATAAAGTGAGCGCTCCTAGGTAAGCAGCTAAAGCACTAAAGGTAATCACAGTGTACCCATAAAATGACAAGTAAAACAGAGTGCAGCGCTAAAATATATAAAGTGCAAAAGAAAATTGTCCGTGATTAATATATTGATTCATATGAGCAAGTCCCAAAAGATAGCTGATGAAACCAGGAAACGATGGAAAAAAAATGCGCACTCACCGGATGCGCATGGATAATGCGCATATAATTAACAACCACTGGAATCTTTATAGTAGATGAAGAGGTTAAACTTCAATCTGTAGGTCAATCAGCCTGGGAAAATATATAGGAAGTCCGGAGATCCCCTTAAGGATGGTATGGTGCTCAGCCAGAATCCAAAGCTCCGTCCCTCTGGTGGTGGTGGGTCAAACTACAGGAATCCTGCAAGTTGATTTAGCTCCCCATAGGAGCCAAAAAGGCAGGTGCCCATAGTGTAGTATTTTTATCAAGTTTATTAGCCAAAAAATGTGATAAATACAGGGTAGTATATAGCTGTATTGACTACGTGATATACAGCAGAGTACGCAGCGGTGATACTGGCCCTCAGTTAAAATGGCCGCCGGGCTATCTCGTGGCTCCGGGCGGGGAATGACGTCATGTCCTGTCGGTTCCTCCTAAGGCCTTTCATGCCAAAGCACATCATCAGAGGGGATCCCCGTTTTACTTGTTATAAGTGGATATAATCAGGGGCGGACTGACAACTCATGGGGCCCCCGGGCAATAGGGGATCATGGGGCCCCTGTGTCCTTGCCCAAACTCAAAAAAGCCTATGAAAAAGGTACCAGGGGCATCTCATGGGGCCCCCTACTGACCCGGGCCCTCGGGCAGTGCCAGAGTTTCCAAATGGTCATTTCGCCCCTGGATATAACATTTATAGGGAACGTTGATCCAGGGAATATCGAATTGCCTCTCGGGGGGTCAGGAAGGAATGTTCCCTGCAGGAGGAGATTGGATCGTTCTTTGCTGTGTTTTTTTTGCCTTCCTCTGGATCCACTGTGGGTGGAGGATTAGAACTTGTTTTTTCTATGGTTGAACTGGATGGACTTTTGTCTGTTTTCAGCCAGACTAACTATGGAATTGTGTTGGCCACCTGACTGCCCTCTCCCCTTAACGGGCCCAGGGGGGGTGGAGGATTATCACTTTTTTTTTTATTATGGTTGAACCGGATGGACTTTTTCCACCAAACTATGTAACATAAATACGGTGCAATACGGAATCGAAATGTCTACCTGGTTTGGAAACACATTAACGCATGGGGTGGGGGAGGGGGGGATTGCATGTCCGTAAATAAAGTCGTCTTTATTTTCAATCCTTACAAAAAAGGAAATTTCCAAGGAATTTATTAATAGAACAAAGTTCTCTTTGTGTTTCATACAACAAAAAAAATATAGAACAAGAAATTCAAACCCATTACAGAGCAATGGAGGTAAAAGAACAAATCCGTCAGTCCGCTACATACGAAGGTGGATCTAATCCTCCCACACAGCAATGCAATATAAGATCGCAGAATGAATCAGAATCTGATAGGATCAATACACTCATCAATTATCATTTCATCAGATTTCCTATAAATACTACAAAGAAGCCCAGAGACCTCCTACCTGGGGGGCAGAAAACCCGGATCCGGAATCCTCATGGTGACAGGCACATTATAGAGAGCTGGTAGGGGGGACATTATCAGTGTCGATAGGATGTATATAGGGAACAGCCGGGCCACCTCATGCCACCACCAGACACTCAGCGCCTGGGGGGGGGGGGGGGGCACAATATTATTACTGCCATAGATGGGCCTTTATCAGCCTGGGTTCCTCCACCGGTTGCTGGGAGTTCCTGAGCAAAGAGTAATTTCTGACTCCTGGATAAGTGACCACCAACACCAGTATGCCTTGTAGCCCTCTGTACGGGGACCACCCTTTCCGCTGATCACCAGAGTCATGGGACTTCCTTACCCCCCAATACAAAAATATCTCTACTAGCAGGCCAAGAGAGCCTGTCTCCGTGGACCATCTATGTAAGGGACCTGCTGCAGCTTAACCGCAGTGCGGCGTACCTTCCCATTGACTTCTATTAGATCAGACATTTTTGCGGCATTCACGACTTTTGGTACACTTTCAGAAAATACTCTCGAAACGCCCGATATAACAGAAGTCTATGGTAAAGCATGGGTGACCCACACCAGAACCGCGGGTACACTCTGCTGCACCCATCCTGTGGTGAAACCACAGCGGATCAGTGGGAACGGTCCTAAGGGAGAAATTTACTAAGGAGGCACATGTGCCATGAACTGAACATACAACAAGAGCAGGAGTTCCCCAACTACGGGAAAGTCATCTCAGGGGTTCCCCAACTACGGGAAAGTCATCTCAGGGGTTCCCCAACTATGGGAAAGCCATCTCAGGGGTTCCCCAACTATGGGAAAGTCATCTCAGGGGTTCCTCAACTATGGAAAAGTCATCTCAGGGGTTCACCAACTACGGGAAAGTCATCTCAGGGGTTCCTCAACTACGGAAAAGTCATCTCAGGGGTTACCCAACTATGGAAAAGTCATCTCAGGGGTTCCTCAACTACGGGAAAGTCATCTCAAGGGTTCCTCAACTACGGGAAAGTCATCTCAGGGGTTCCCCAACTATGGGAAAGTCATCGCAGGGGTTCCTCAACTACGGGAAAGTCATCTCAGGGGTTCCCCAACTACGGGAAAGTCATCTCAACGGTTCCTCCATGTTAAAAAGGTTGAGAGAGGCTGGGTTAGATCTTCTGTTGGCTTTTTATCACTGCCTAATCTCCGGTGGGGAGATTTTCCTTCACTTCCAGTCCTGCAGATACACAGCAGGATCAGGGGCGGACTGACAACTCATGGGGCGCCCCGGGCAATAGGGGATCATGGGGCCCCTGTGTCCTTGCCCAAACTAAAAAAAGCCTATGAAAAAGGTACCAGGGGCATCTCATGGGGCCCCCTACTGACTCCGGGCCCTCGGGCACTGCCCGAGTTTCCAAATGGTCAGTCCGCCCCTGAGCAGGAGGTGAGAAGAAATCCCACCTTTTGATAGTTGTCCCCATTGGGATTTCCCCTCAATATCTCTTTCAGTGACAACTGTAACATTTGGGATTTTTCCTCAGTTTTTGTCCCGGTAACAATAGTCGGGACAGGAAGTGAAGAGAAATCTCCCTAACAGACTGAAAAAAATAAACCACCGTCTGAGGCTCTAATCCGCTCTACATCTTCCAGAGTCTAAAGACTGAAAACAAAAGTTTTATTTAGAGTTCTACTTTAAAGGTTGGAATGGAGATTTTGGGAGCAGTATGGCTTTCGGCGGCACGACTGGCTCCCGTTGGTTTCTCTATATTTCCAGCAAGTTTCGTACCTCTGAAACCTTCAACCGTTTGTGGAGGTTCTGGGATTTTTTTTTTTTTTTTTTTTTTTACAAAAATGTTGCCAATAATTTTCACCTCCCTGAAATCTGGGGAAATCTGTTATTTCTTGTCCATTGAAGGGCACAAGGATTCTTAGACTGTCAGCCATTGGCCAGCCCAGGACACTCTCACCCATAACCATCATCCCTGTGTCTCGCTGGCCTCCTCAGGAGGGTGGACGTGTCTTCTTCAGCTCCATCGGTTTCATTTTTCTTGGAAATGTTTCTACCATCAACAGCTGCTAGTAGAGGTGTGCGGATCTATGAAATCCTGCCAGTCTCTCCATTCAGACAAGTAGGCTTTCCCGGTTTTATGGTGGTCTCTCTGTGATGGACCTGCAGTCGATGACCTCCCATCAGTATCCCATTTAGCACAGGACTCTGCTGTTCAGGTCAGACCAGTGTTCTCTGGGGATTCCTTGCCGACGCTCGGGACCAGCTCCTCTGACCCCATCTCTGAGGACTCCATGGTGTCCATTGTATCGGATCCTTAGATCTACTGGGCAATGTGGAAATCTGAATGCAGGTTTCCCATACTGGCCTTCTCCGAAGACGACTCCATTTGTGTTCCAGATGCCACAGAACTTCACTTTAAAGTGATTCTCAAGGTTCACGTTTTCTTTTTATTAACCCCTCCCCCTCCAGAGGATCCTCCCCCCCCCCTTCCTGACCAGGCCATTTTTTGTGATATGGGGCTGTGTTATTTTAACTGCGGTCATGAAACGCCTCACCCAAAATTAAATTTAAGTATTTTTTTCCCCACAAATAGAAACTTTCTTTTTGACCGCCTGGGCTTTTTTTTTTATTTATCACGCTATAAGCAAAAAACCCACCAATTTTGAGAAAAAAAAAAAAATTTTGACTCTGCTCTAAAACATCCAATAAAAAAAATATAAAAAATCAAAATTTCGGCCAAAATGTATTCTCCTTGACTGCTAAAAAAAAAAAAAACCTGATACATGTAAAATAATTGGTTTACGTGAAAGTTATGGAGTCTACAAATGGTGGGATAGATACTGGGATTGTTTTAAATAATATTTTTTACTAGTGATGGTGGCGATCAGCGACTTATAGCGGGACCCCATTTTGGTGTGGATGCGGTGCGATTTAGGCCATACAAAATGAATGTGATGGCGCCGCTCCAAGCTATGGATGGAAGGAAAAATATCACCCCACCGGCAAAGCTGAAGAGGGAAGTCCCAGTGATCCCAGTGTCAGCCAATGTAAGTGAAGGGATGGGCGCTGCTCTACAAACCCCAGGAGTCCAATGTTGAGGAACGGCCTCAGCCGCCGTTCTGGCCATGCCCTCTGATGGGTTTCGCTCCGCCCACCAGAGCTCGGTCACAGAGGTATTGGTTGAGCAGCATTCATACAAAAGGAATGACTCAAATCGCACCGCACAAACATCACATGTGCAAACACAGGAATGTGGTGCGATTCTCTATGCGAATCACATGCGGTGTCCTGTACCCCACACGTGTGAACCCGGGCTCAGAGACCATTGCTTTGTTGGTTGCACTCCCTGTTGTAAGGGTAGCCTCCTATATAACTTCTCATGTTTGTTCCCCAGTAACTTCATGGGATCTGAATTTGGGACCCTTGGACAAGGTGATGTTGAGGCCCAGGACCACCTTCTTGCCTAGCGTAGATTTTGTCTTTCAGCTCAATCAAAACATTACTCTCCTGTCCTTCTGTCCGATTCCAATATAACAAAAAGCAATTTCCCTCCATTGGTTGGATGTAGTTTGGGTGGATTTACTAAAATTGGAGAGTAGTGCAAAATCTGGCGCAGCTCTGCGTAGGAACCACTCAGCTTCCAGGTTTTTTCGGTCAAAGCTTCATTGAAGAAGCCGACGTTAGAAGCGCCGATTAGCTGGACTGCACCAGATTTTGAGTGCTCCAGATTTCATAAATCTCCCCCTAAGATCTGTCTCTCAGCCACTGCATCCTCCAGAATACAGTTTGTTTTTTTAATTCTGGATGGAAGCGCCACTTTCCCTACGTGACTCGAGCAGACCATCAACCAAATATATGATCTTAAGGTGACCATAGATGGATCAAACTTTGGCAAGGACTGGTCAAATTTGATCCACGTATGGCCACTGCAGCTGAAGAGAAGCAGCTCTACTGGTCAACTGTCCTGTGGGATAAAAGCTGCCCGATCAGTGGTCTGTGTATTCTCAGGAAAGTCTCCTCGATGTGAGGAGGATTCCCCCATCCACCTCAAAATGTGTTAATGAGGGAACGTGTTTAGTTTTTTCATTCAGCCCAGTGCTTAATAACCGGAACCACGTATGGCCTCCCTGTTCTACGAGACCTGCAAGTAATTCCTGCTCTTTTAGGCAGAAAACAACTTTTCCCAGTTTACAAGGCCAGCACCTGGTTTGTTTTTTTTTTTGCCTTTAAGTTTTAACGCGCCAATATCCAGGCCTTGTCTGGGGCCAACTTTGGCCATTAGGTCCTTCAAATGGTCTCCAGATTCTTGTGGTCTTTTCTTGGACCTGTTGGCCTTTGTTGCAATGTTATCCCACCCCTCTGTTGGGACTGCTTTTGGACACCCAGACAGTCTAGGAATTTCTGTGCCCCTCGATGGCCAAGAAAGATAAATAGGATTTTTGTTCTAACCATAAAATTCTTTTTTTCCTGGAGTCCATTGGGGGGGAGAAACAGGTCCTTCCCCTATTTTTTGTTATCTTTTGGTACTGCTTTGCTAAAATAAAACAAAAAACACTGAGGCAAGTGGTTGTGGGTGTGGTTACATTGTTCTGGACAACAGCTTTTTTTTTTGCCAATGTCTATTTCTCCTGTAGGTGGCATTACAACCCAACAGTCTAAGAATTCCTGGGTCCCTCAATGGACTTCAAGAAAGGGATTTTTTTTAGGGGAGTCCTAAGTTTTTTGTTTTTTTTTAATGGAATTAGTTTTCCATAAGCAAAAAAAAAAAAACAGTTAAAGAATATATAACACACATCCACTTATGTTCAGTGTAACCTCTTTAAAATTAAGAAAGATTTCGAGAATTTTACAGCAGTCATTTCACCTACACTCATAAAACAGACCCCGTACAGCTGTCCCTAACGCCGAAACATGTCCCCACCACTGGTCTGTTGTAGGTAAAGTAGTAAAGTGGACCTGTCATTAGTGCTTGGTAGATGAACCCATTATAAGGGATGCCCCCCGAGTGTGACAATATTGGGGTACTGCGGCTGATTTCTGGTTCTCCTGCTTTCACGATGTGTTATTAGTAGGAAGAACCTGATCCTTGGCTCCTGAAGGTGAGCAGATATAGTGGATTTGCTTGAAAACTATCAGGTATGACATAGACAGACGCTGACATTCTAGCATTTGTCAAACTATCACACAGATCCAGGATGTCATCAGGTTTGAATAGGTTTTTTCCTGTTTTAGGAACAAGAACCGGTGTGTCTTGAATACCAATAGCGGAGTTGTCGGTCAGAACTTCAGCCAGGAAGATGTAGATGAGGCCGCCGTCCTCTTTCGGGGTCTGGAAAAGTTCCATAGCCCTCCTAGGACTGTCTGCGAAGTATATCCCCTGGCCGTACTTGGGATCTGAAGAGAAGAGAAGAAGAAGGATCTGTAGAGCACAATTATCAGACCTCATCCAGGAGGTGACAGAGGAGAGAAGATTCCTGGAGGGTTGGTTCCATATGTTGGCTCAGATGTCATGGGATTGTACCTTTACCCAATCCTCAGGTTAGGGTCCCGCTTATGCAAATGAAAAAACAAAAAGAGGGCGCACCGACCTAGTGCATTCTCATTTAAAAATATTTATTGAGAGGACTCAGCCTCTTCCACAGCCTTCAGTGACAGTTGTGATGTGGTGAGCTCCTCCATCAATTTGATTTGGTTAGCCTCTGAGGACCAAAAAAAGGCCAGTTGGTGGGGGCGTGGCTTGTTTGTAATACAGCGACATGCATACCTGGACGGCATTCAGCCAATGTATTCATAGCGAACGTTTCTCATTTTATGGTCGGAGATGTTTGCTCTATGAATCTGTAGGCTTCTCCGGGTGCCATTTGGAATATTGTAATTGTGCTGCTTTGTGGCTCCGGGGCAGGAAAAACAAATAGGTCACATTTCAAAAATTCTGCCGGGGGGAGGAAAGTTCTGAGGACGACTTTCTATACAGCAGATCACCCTCCACATGCCTCTAATGATCCCGACACTCACCTTTAGGATTGCTGAAAATCCTCTGAAATCCGACATCACAGACCAGCCTTGTGAACTGTCTGGGGACCACCTGATACAACTTGCTGGTGTTCTTATTGGACTTTTTTGCCCCCTTCTTGTACTGGAAGATTTCTGACAGATATCTGTTGTGGATCTTCTCCGCCTGGAAAACAATGCAGATTATAAATAATAGTGATACACACGGCTCAAAAAAAGAAAGGAACCCTTTGTAATCCGAGTCGCACCAAGTCCATGAACCTCCTGGGACATGGATCTGGTCAGGTAAGTTGCAGAGGGGATTGGTCATCAGTTTCAGCTGCTTTGGTGTTCATGAAATGAACAACAGGTGCACTAGATGGGCAACAATGAGACGACCCCCAAAATAGGAATGGTTTCTGTTTTTCACTCGTTTTGCATTTGGCTAGGGTCAGTGTCACTACTGGTAGACCATACCTGATAAGACCATACCTGGACCCTACAGAGGTTGCATAGGCAGTCCAACTCCTCCAGGATGGCACATCAATACGTGCCATTGCCAAAAGTTTGCTGGGTCTCCCAGCACAGTCTCAAGAGCATGGAGGAGATTCCAGGACACAGGCAGTTCCTCTAGGAGAGCTGGACAGGGCTGTAGAAGGTCCTTAACCCATCAGCAGGACCGGTATCTGCTCCTTTGTGCAAGGAGGAACAGGAGGAGCCCTGCCAGAGCCCTACAAAATGACCTCCAGCAGGCCACTGGTGGGAATGTCTCTGACCAAACAATCAGAAACAGACTTCATGAGGGTGGCCTGAGGGCCAGACGTCCTCTAGTGTTTTTTTTTTTCTCGGGTCAATGGTGGCGGCGGGTATTGTGATTGACATTGGATCTACCTTGGGGGACATTTTAAAAAATGTTTTATTTGAAATAAAGGACTTGTCACAGACTCTCTCCTGTCATGTTTACACTACACTTGTTTTATGAATGGGTAGCAGTACCATGTACCCCATACTCATTCACATGGCGGGGGGATCTGGGGGCTTCCAGATTCCGCTTCCAGATTCCGATAAGCCCTCTCCTGCAGACCCCCACAACCCACCTCCTCCTAACAATTGATTCTTTTATTTTTCCCATCAGCCCATCCCTCACAGTTTTTACCTTTTTGTACCATTTGCCCCTCCCTATTAGATTGTAAGCTCCCAGGATCAGCCCCTCCCTCTTAGATTGTAAGCTCCCAGGATCAGGCCCTCCCTCTTAGATTGTAAGCTCCCAGGATCAGTCCCTCCCTCTTAGATTGTAAACTCCCAGGATCAGCCCCTCCCTCTTAGATTGTCAGCTCCCAGGATCAGCCCCTCCCTCTTAGATTGTAAACTCCCAGGATCAGGCCCTCCTATCCCTCTTGTATTGATCTGTATTGTTGCTGTATTGTCTCCCATTATATTATAAAGTGCTGAGCAAACTGTTGGCGCCATAAATCCTGTATAATAATAATATATATAAATCCTGTATAATAATAATATATATAAATCCTGTATAATAATAGTAATAATACACACAATATCTCCGTTTTACACAAATATTTTTTACATGACAAACAATTTCTCGAGCACTATGGGTTGTCTCTGGAGAACTAGTTGTTTCTTTTTAGACTCTCTCTGTCTGACACCTCCAGGCTGAAGGAGGAGTCTATGTTCTGATTTGTTAACCTATGTAACAACATTTTAGCTTCAGCTATTCAGTTCTGTTAACAACTGGCTTTTAAAGTTGTTTAGTAAACAGAAGAAAATATGAAAATCAGATTAAAACTCCTCCTGCTGGTGGGATGTAAGAATATATGGAAAATGTCAAGCTAAACTAGTTGAAGTAGGTGGGGGAAAATAGACATACGTACAGTATCTCCCAGAAGTAAGTCCCCCCCCCCCCCCGGACTGTATATAATATATATATATATATATATATATATATATATATATATATATATACACACACACACACACACACATATACAAACACAGTATCTCCCAGAAGTGAGTCCCCCCCTTGACATTTGTGTCAATATTTGATTCTCTCTTTCCATGTGACAACACTGAAGAAATGACACTTTGCTACAATGTGACGTAGTCAGTGTACAGCTTGTATAACATGGAAATTTGCTGTCCCCTCAAAATAACTCAACACTCCGCCATTATCCATTAGCCGCCTGGCCTATAGCCGTTTGGCGGCATCAAAAACGCTTTAGATTTCCGGGGTGTATGCCATTTGGCGTGCACCCGCACATGCACAGTTTGCGCTAATGCAGAGCCGCACCGCAATCTGTCACCGGCCGTGTACCTCGGACACGGCCGATGCCAGGTCTGAGTACCGGCCCCCGTTGCAGGTACCATGTGACCTGCTGTGACCAATCAGAGCAGGTCACATGACAGTTGTATACATTGGATGGCTTCATTCATGCCATCCATTGTATACTAGTGTCTAGCTGTGAATGGTCACAGCAGGTCACATGCACATGTCATGTGATTAGCTGTGGCCAAATCACAGCTAAGCC